GGCTGCCACTAGGATCATCAAGCATATCATTCTCACTCTGGTCAGGTGTCACACTGTCAATCTGCTTTTTGATAATGACATCATGTATAGCCTTTTCTTCAGTTGCACTTTCAAATTCCTCTGCATGTTCTGGTTTATCAGCCTGTTCCCCAACTGGACTGCCACTACGATCATTAAGTATATCATTCTCACTCTGGTCAGGTGTCACACTGTCAATCTGCTTTTTGACAACAACACCATGTACAGCTCTTTCTTCAATTGCACTATCAAATTCCTCTGCATGTTCTGGTTTATCAGCCTGTTCTCCAACTGGGCTGCCACTAGGATCATCAAGCATATCATTCTCACTCTGGTCAGGTGTCACACTGTCAATCTGCTTTTTGATAATGACATCATGTACAGCCTTTTCTTCAGTTGCACTCTCAAATTCTTCTGCATGTTCTGGTTTATCAGCCTGTTCTCCAACTGGGCTGCCACTACGATCATTAAGTATATCACTCTCAATTTGGCCAGGTGTCACACTGTCAATCTGCTTTTTCATAATGACATCATGTACAGCCTTTTCTTCAGTTGCACTCTCAAATTCTTCTGCATGTTCTGGTTTATCAGCCTTTTCTCCAACTGGGCTGACACTAGGATCATCAAGCATATCATTCTCATTCTGGTCAGGTGTCACACTGTCAATCTGCGTTTTGATAATGACATCATGTACAGCCTTTTTTTCAGTTGCACTCTCAAATTCTTCTGCATGTTCTGGTTTATCACCCTTTTCTCCAACTGGACTGCCACTACGATCATTAAGTATATCATTCTCACTCTGGTCAGGTGTCACACTGTCAATCTGCTTTTTGACAACAACACCATGTACAGCTCTTTCTTCAGTTGCACTATCAAATTCCTCTGCATGTTCTGGTTTATCAACTTTTTCTCCAACTAAGCTGCCACTAGGATCATCAAGCATATCATTCTCACTCTGGTCAGGTGTCACACTGTCAATCTGCTTTTTGATAATGACATCATGTATAGCCTTTTCTTCAGTAGCACTTTCAAATTCCTCTGCATGTTCTGGTTTATCAGCCTGTTCCCCAACTGGACTGCCACTAGGATCATTAAGTATATCATTCTCACTCTGGTCAGGTGTCACATTGTCAATCTGCTTTTTGACAACAAAACCATGTACAGCTCTTTCTTCAATTGCACTATCAAATTCCTCCGCATGTTCAGGTTTATCAGCCTGTTCTCCAACTGGGCTGCCACTAGGATCATCAAGCATATCATTCTCACTCTGGTAAGGTGTCACACGGTCAATCTGCTTTTTGATAATGACATCATGTACAGCCTTTTCTTCAGTTGCACTCTCAAATTCTTCTGCATGTTCTGGTTGATCAGCCTTTTCTCCAACTGGGCTGACACTAGGATCATCAAGCATATCATTCTCACTCTGGTCAGGTGTCACACTGTCAATCTGCGTTTTGATAATGACATCATGTACAGCTTTTTCTTCAATTGCACTATCAAATTCCTCCGCATATTCTGGTATATCAGCCTGTTCTCTAACTGGCCTATCACTAGGATCATCAAGCACATCGTTTTCACCCTGGTCAGGTGTCACACTGTCAATCAGCTTTTTGATAATGACATCTTGTACAGCCTTTTCTTCAGTTGCACTCTCAAATTCCTCTTCATGTCCTGGTTTATCAGCCTTTTTTCCAACTGGCCTGCCACTAGGATCATCAAGCAGATCATTTTCACTCTGGTCAGGTGTTACACTGTCAATCTGCTTTTTGATAATGACATCAGGTATAGCCTTTTCTTCAGTTGCACTTTCAAATTCTTCTGCATGTTCTGGTTTATCAGCCTTTTCTCCAACTGGCCTGCTACTAGGATCATCAAGCAGATCATTTTCACTCTGGTCAGGTGTCACACTGTCAATCTGCTTTTTGATAATGACATCATGTACAGCCTTTTTTTCAGTTGCACTCTCAAATTCTTCTGCATGTTCTGGTTTATCAGCCTGTTCCCCAACTGGACTGCCACTACGATCATTAAGTATATCATTCTCACTCTGGTCAGGTGTTACACTGTCAATCTGCTTTTTGACAACACCATGTACAGCTTTTCCTTCTGTTGCACTCTCAAATTCATCTACATATTCTGGTATATCAGCCTGTTCTCCAACTGGCCTATCACTA